CCCTCTCTGAGTAGACCCGGTGGCCGCTGACGCCTTCGGATATGCTAGCAGGGAAGCCTGGGTCTGAGAGCGCTGGGGCGGGAGAAGCGGACCTTCCTTTGCCTGCATCAGTGGGGACTAACGGATGGTTTTCAGGCATATTTTACTTAGCCCATAAAGACAGCCCATGCAGCTTTTAAAATAATGAAGTAGTTGCAATATTTAAGAATCAGAATTTCTGGCGCAGCACTAGGCCCGCATTGCTCCATCATAACAGTCAGGTGGAGCAGAAGCCAACATGGCCTCTGTGCACCTACGACTCCCGCTAAGCCTGAATGTTGGGGCCTGCCTGTGACATTCCCAGGTTCCTGAAGCATTGCTTCCCCTCTGGAAGGAGGAAAGTGAGACACTTCTTGCTCCTGTGTCTCAAAGTAAAGCAAAAAAATAACTGAGATTCAGGAGGTCATGTTTTAATAAAAAATGGGCTTAAATGTACTTTTTGTGTTAAATAAAAAGCTTGCTGCAAGTTAATATTTAAGCCTAAATGTGTCTAGTTCAAAAAGTACAATTCAAAAAGCCATTCTGAAACGGATCTGGCCTGTTCACTTATTTTATCTGCCTAACCCTGTGGTCTTTTAAGTCTTTGAGACTTAAAACCTCCGGTCAAACTGATTAAGCCTCTTGGAACCTAAACAAACCCTACCCCTAAAGTTCATTGGCCAGTGGATTTGGGCCCAGTGTATGCCTGTTTTCAGACCAAAGGCAGACAGGACAGACTGGAGATTTCCATGACTGGAGTAGGTAGAACACTCTTCTCATCTAAATGTCTTGGTTTCCTTTTAGGACAAATATTAATAGTAACATGAGGGAAGGCAGGAAGTTCTGGGGTAGATAAGCTGCAGAATCCAGTGTGCTTGGAGAATGTGAACTACAGTTGGGATTAGAGAAGTCTATTTTAATCAATTGTAAATAATTACTTTTATTTTCTTAACTTTTATTTGTGAATCAATTTCAGACTGACCAAAAACATCGCAAAAATAAGAAAAAGATTTTCTATGAACTTTCACCCAGATTTTCTAAATGCTAACATCTTACTCAGAGTACAGGACTCAAAATCATGAAATTAACACTGATGCAATGTTGTTATTCACTCTACAAAACTGATTCTGATTTCACCAACTGCCTACTAATGTTCTTTCTTCTGGTGCAGGATCTAATCTAAGATTTCACACTGCATTTTGCTGGCGGGTCTCCTTAGTCCTGCAATGTGGGACATTTCCTCAGTGTTTGTTTTTCACAAGTCTGACACGTAGTAAAATGTACCTCAGTTTTGGTCTGTCTGCTCTCCTCTTGATTAGGCTCGGTTATGCACTGGGGGAAGAAGACCAGGGAGTGATGTTGTATCCTCCTCAGTGCATCTGCTCAGGAAAGGGTCCAGGGAGGGCCCACAGGTTTATCCACTATAAAGTTCTGGATTTCAAAGGGAAAATGATATCTTCTGGGGAGAGACTCTAAGACGACGTAAATATCTTTTTTCTCATCCTACTTGCACTGACTAATTCTAACATCCATTGATGATTCTTGCTTGAAACAACCATAATTAATTTGAACTAGAATAACAATGAAGAGACGCATATGGTAGGTGAACCTATGAGAATGTCCCATGGCTCTTTCTTTCTCAGATAACAGGTGGAAGGCACAAACTATCCACTTACTGAAGTTATTGGTAAGTCTTGGTCCCCCAGTGGCAGGCCAGGTGCCCTATGAACCCTTAAGAGTGCATTGTCTTCTAACTTTCGCTTGTTGGGTAACGTGGCCTTGTATTTCACACTCTGCATAAACCTCAGCTTAGTACTCCGTACAAACAGACCTCCTTAGGTTCTTTGGAACCCTTTGCACATGACCTGTTTAACCCGGCATTGTGGTGTCTCTCAGGCTATACCTATAGACTGGGATGATGCTTATGTAAATCTTCCTTTTTGCATTCTTCTACTTTTTTAAAAGTTGGATACTTTCCAGCTCAAAGCGCTGTTATTAAGTCCTTCTGGATTTTTTAAGACTATTTTCCTTTGACATTTTTCTATATGTAAGCATAGAGTGGGAGCCTCAGCATTCATTCAATACCTCCTTCAGCTGGGAGACATGAAGGGTAATCACATCCTTGGAGAAGTGGTAAAAAGCAGTGTATAAAACTAACAAATTCTAGGGGCTGGGGATTTAACTCAGCAACACAGTGCCTGCCCGGCAAGTGCAAGGTCGTGAGTTCGATTCCCAGTACCGGAAAAACAAAAAGAAAAACAAACTAAAAAATTCTAAAACCATGAATAAAAGAATAAACCTAACAGCTGTCCAGAGGGACTCTCAGAAAAGGTGATACGTGAAGCAGGTTGTGAAGGGGGCAGATATTGAGTTGCGTGTGAGGGTAGGAGAAAAGCCAGTTGTGGGCATAAAGTAGTCACACCTACAGAAATATGAAAAGTGTTTTGGAATTAGAACAGAATAATTCTGGAGTGGTTGGGGAAAGGGATTAGGTAAGATATCTTGAATTATCTTATAGGGCCCTTATACTGTGCATAGTGGTGCCTTATCCTGGGGTTTTAGAGCAATAATTCTTGCAGGAAGATGGAGGGTCAGCTGGTAATAGTGTTATTGGAGGAACGGATCCCAATCAGGAAGGTGTAGGTAGAAAATGAGCACCTGAATTTAAGCAGCAGTTGGAAAGCACAGTCAACGTCCAAGCAACCATGTATAATTACTTCTCTACACTTTTGAAAGCCCAAAACCTAAAAACTAAGTTTCTTAAGTTTGCAGAAAATGTAGCTCCTAATTTGAGCTGATGTGAAACTATTTGTCGTTTTTATCTCAGTGTGTTAAAAGAAGGCCATGATTCTTTGCTCTTCCACCCATCCCTGGATTGTCTCTGCTGCTCCTCTATTTGAATACGGGCTGGGCTTTTTTTTTTTTTTTTTTTTTTTGGTCATTTTGAGATAGGGTCGCCCTATGCAGTTCAGACTGGCCTTAAACTCACTTTGTAGCCTAGGCTGGTCTTAAACTCGCAACAATCCTCCTGCCTTAGCCTCCTGAGTACAGGGATTATAGGCTTGAGCCACCACACCTGGCCTTGGGCTGGGCTTCTTATTGGCTTTGGTGGGTAGAATGTGGAAAGAACCTGCCAACCTAGTCCTGCCAAAGTTCCTGACCCACAAACTCTGAGAAAATAAAATGATCATTTTAAGCTTCCAATGTGTAGGAATGTTTGTTACATTGTATATTTATTCATATACTGTACACACACTGAAGAAAATAATGTATTTCATTCAAGTGCCAGCCACTTCCAATCCTTCTGGCCCCACGAATTTTAGGAAGGGATTGTCCTTTGCATTATGAAAATAGAATCATGTAGACTTCCTTCCTGTCTTTACACATTTGCTAAATGTCATATTTCACATGTGTATCTCTTATTTTCCCAACCACATTAGCAATTTCTCTAAACCAGCAGTTCTCAAGAGTTAATGTGCCCCAGGGTCCCTCTGAGGCCTTATTCCAGCACCGAGAGCTTCCTAGCTCCTTCCTCAGGGGTTCTGATTCGGTGGGTCTGAGCTGGAGCTTGAGAACCGGCATTTCTGCCCAGGTCCCAGGGGATGCTGAAGCTGCTGGTCTAGGGACCACACCTTACTGCTCCAGAGGAGAACAATGTATTTAACATTTTTATTGCCACCCAAAGTGCTTACCAGGGCACATGGATGGAATTTCTTGGAATGTTCATCTGTGTCATGCTTTAGAAGCCCTTTGTTATTCCCTGAGTTGTCCTGGCTAGGCTTTAGACTTAAACTAATCCCCTTTTTTAAAAAAAATTTGTATTAGTTCATCATTTGTGCTTTCTTCAGTGCAGTTGATAAGACACTGTAGTTAAATGTCCTTTCTGACAGTTTCTTAAACCTGTCTTGGAACAGATCACCCTATATGCCTTCAATGTGCATTCAGAGGGACCCCCTATTTGTGACCAAACATAACCTCCCTCCCCACTCCATGTTTTCAATGTTTTCCGTCACTCATTCACAAAACAGAAAGAGGAGTCACAGGGAAGGGGATCTTTTCGGCCAGAGGTCCATCCTCCAAAGCCGCCCCCCCACCTTTTTTTTTTTTTTAACAGAAGATACCACTAAACACCCAGGGAAACACCACCTGCTTATGACATTCCGCGGATTAGTGCAGGGACGATGCCTGAGCTCAAGTCTAACCTGCCCGCAGCTCACTAAATGCTGCCTCGCTGAGGGCCCCCCCCCCAGGACCTCGCAGCTCGTGTCTCACAAGCTAGCTTCACTCTGCGCAAACCGCCCCTTACAAATTTTTTTAAAAAACATTTTTGTTTCCAAAGGCGATGGGACCGTCACACTGATTCAGCTTGTTCAGGGGCCCTGAACATTTCCCTCCCGCCTCGGGCCCAGGCGCTGTCACCCAGGCTCTCAGGGGCCCCGCCGGGCGTCGGAGAGCCCTGGGAGCGCCTCGCCTGAGCCCAGCGATTAGGTTGGCTCCTCAAACTGTTCCCTACCGGAGGGACAGGAAACAGCACGGGCTTTGGTGGCGGCCGCCGGGGAGGAGGAGAAGCGCGGGCGGGCAGCGCCAGCGGCCTCACGTCGCTCTGGGGTCTAAGGTCGGGCGGCGTCGCCCCCGCCCGGTTCCGCCCGGAGGTCCGCGCGAGCCCG